ACCTTTTCTCAAGTCAGTCATCTTTTTTTTTTTTAACATGGATCCCTATCAGCATCTAACATACAATGTACACATAGGCATGATGTTAGGATACTGACTTACAAGGATGCTGGTGTGAATGGCATTTCCTATGTTCCAAAATATCCTATCTTCAAAAGGGGTCAATACAAGATGCTTCAAAGCAATGTACAAAACACCCCAAAGTGAGCAGTTATGGACTCATCTGCCTATAGATAATTTCTTCCTAAGATCCTTAGTTAGAGGTTAGCTATCCCCTGAAGAATATATTCCAAAATTCTGGGTTTCTCTTTAAAAAATAATAAACCAACACTGTAATGTAACTATGTACGCTCTCATTACCCATTTACACATTTTTGGAATTCTGCTAAACTACCGGCATCAATAATATCTGGTGTCAATGTGTTTCACTCGCTGATTGTGCAGTTGTGTAAAAATGTTTCCTTTGACCAGTTTCAAATATGCTGACCTTCAATTTCACCAAGTGTCCCATTGATCTTATATTATGAGACAGGGCGAACAGAAGTGCCCCAACTACTTTCTTTATGCCATTCATTATTTTGTATCTCTCGTCCCCTCTTTATTTCTCCTCTCTGTACTAAACACTCCCAATCTTTTCAGTCTCTCTTCATATGGAAGAAACACTGCACGGGTCTGCACCTCACATTGCACCAGATAGTACCACCAATTTTTAAATGGCTTTATAATTTTTCCATTCCATTTCTCATGCTTCCTAACATTTGTTTTTTCAGATGCCGCTACACACTGAGCTGTCCACAGTGATACTCAGATCTTTTTCCTGACCTGTTACAGTTAATTTAGAACCTAGTAAAGTTCTAAACAGACAGAAAACACAAAAGATCTGTGTGTATTGTACATGTGTTATCAGCACAATTTTGTATGGGAGCAAGGCATAGACCTTAGACTCTCATCAGGAAAAGAGGCTTAACAGCTTTCATATATGTTGCCTTTGTCAAATCTTTGAAATCTCCTGGAAAGACAGAGTCACCAACACTGAGGTGCTCAAGCGGGCCAGCATACCCAGCATGAAAACACTCCTCAAACAGAGACGCCTATGATAGCTTGGGTATGTGTGATGAATGATGGGCACATCCCAAAGGACATCCACTACAGCAAATTGGCATTTGAAAAAAGATGCAAAGGATGCCCAAAATTGCGTTTCAAGGACGTTTGCAAGAAAGACCTCAAAGAAATGGACATGCATGTAGATAACTGGGAAGATCATATTCAGGACCACAGCCTTTGGAAACAAGAGCTTAACAAATGTCTCCATAGTTACGAGAAGAAGCAGTCCAACTTAGCAGAGGAGAAAAGAACTCGCAGAAGGTAGAGCCCAAAGGGTTGAAACACCACCTTTAAATGTGACAGATGCAGCCAAAATTTTCTCTCGAGTGGGTCTCTTCAGTCACAGCCATGGCTGCCATAAAGATTTACTCAGTTGGTTTTTACCTCTCACGGTGCATATCCGTGGTCTCTCAAGACTGAAGGATGCCTACTACTACTATTAGTCAGGTATGAGAATAATTTAAATTATTCCTTCCAGCATGCAATATCTTGCAACTGTCAATACTGAATTTCATGTGCCATCCTACTATTTAATTCCCTGTCTTTGATCAGTGTCACTAAAGATTTCCAGTCCTCTCCAGTCTCGATAACCTTAAATAACTGTGCCACCTGCAAATTTTGCCATCTCACTGCATAACCTCTCTTTTATAGATTACAGAATTATGAAATATTATTTCACCCTATTGGAAAATAAGTTCTGAATCACTAAAAAAAGGTCTTTTTAAAATGTTAGTCCTGCTGAGTTCTACATGCATTGGTTATTATCGTGATGGCTCTCCAGCAGCAAAGGGATGATACAAAAATGTGAGAAATACATCTCTATTTCTACTAATAGTAATTATAAAAGTAAATTTGAAGCCAGATGATTTCCAAGTTTTCCGTTGGTATTACTGCAAGTTTGCACAAATACCAACTCTTAAGCACATAATGTAAACTGAGGTGTCTAACACCTAATGTGCTAGATCCAGCAGCCTACCTGATGTATTTATGTGGCCAATTCAGATTCTGTGCAATCTGAACTTAAAAAAAAAAAAAAAAATTCTAGGTTTTATGGTTGCAAAAGTGATCTAAATACAAAGTGAGTGTACACCGAGGCAGTGTTGTCTTCCCAACTGCACAGAGCATAAAATAAACAATGGGTCTGGAAAGTGTGAACTCCCCAGCCCTCATAAATCTCATTGGTCATACACAGAGAAGAAAAAAGGTAGGTTTTCCAAATGTGTTCGCTAACGCACTTTTAAATGCCACTTTACAACTAGTGGAGACAGAATTTGCCACCTTTAAAAACATGGTAGATGGGGTTTCTAGACTCTCAGTTAGGGTACACCACAACCAGCTAACACAATTTTAAAGATGTTAAACTATGACTATACAAGTTGTTAAGTGATGTTTCAAATCATATTGGCTAACCTGATTTAAAATAACCAACCCAAACTAAAGACATACCACCTTTTCTTCCAGCCTAAACACCACCAGAAACAAAGCAAGGGGACGAGAAACAGATACAGGAGAACAGGCGAGTGCAGAAATAGTAGTGGTCCAGAAAGTGAGAGAATATTTTCCCACAGAGCGATATCTAATACGATAAATAGTAATTGAGAGGTTAGTGAGTACATGAAGGCCATGTTCAATCCTTGAATATATATGCAAAGTATCATCAGATCTGGGGGGAGATTCATTGAGACCTGAGTGTAGTATATAATCCAAAATTTATCCTTCAGCCTACAAACCAGATTTAAAAATGGAATTTGGCCCTTTCCATAGAATGGGTGACATTCTTATTTTTTTAATCTTCACACCTCTTCAATGCACCTAGGAAAGCTTCATCCCACTAAGTGTCTTTCTAAACTGGACATACACACTTGATTTTCATTTGGGATGTCAATGAGAGTCAGCTATAATACTGTGATAACAATTCTAATTTATAAAAGAAACTTTCAAAATAATGGAATTATGAAAAGTCTTATGTTCTGCAGAAAGACTTGGGTCCCTAGGTTCCTTCCCTTTACATCCTTGAGACTTTAATGCAAACACTTCCAAACTACACTTCTTAATAAACTTTCTTTAGGGTTTTTGTTTTTAAATTCTCTCCTTCACTACTTTGCTCAGAAAACCCTTTCAGAAGTACTTAATCCAACTTCTTTTAAGGTTTTATTAGGTGAAGTCTTTTTTAGTAGCAAAAACAAGTCCAAGCATGAGAAGATTTAGGTGTGCTCTAATTTCATATGCTGCAAACGAAAGTATTTCTGATTTAATCTCACTAGGCTGCATTAATTTAAAAAAATATACAAGACAAGATTTGATTTCTGGGAACATTTTGTGGGTGGATGGAGGTGGTTAATTAACATTCATATTTTAGAAAGAATGCTGGATCAGACTGTAAAGTTAAAAGGGTCAGCTTTAAAAATGTCATATCTCTCTAAAGACTTCTTACCCACTGCTGTTACAAAGTAATAATTATAATCAGCGTAAGTAAGAGAAAATAGAGAAAAATAATTGTCTCTGCTTTTTGAATATACCTTGTACATATGACAACACTTTGTTTCACAATCTCTGTCAGATTAACACAAAAACAAGGGAAAGAAACATTTAAAAAAATAGAAAAATTACTGTAAAACTATTAATATTGGAGGGGGAACCTGAGGGGCAAGTGTACTACTTGAAACTGTGCTGGGTTTGTTTGAGGTGTTTTTACTGCATTAAGTTGGTGTCCCTCTGACATGGAGAAGCTCAGTTACTTATTAAGGGGAGCCATAGAAGACCTTAAGAGGCTGCTCTGAGCAGAGAGCCTGCAAAGTGTTTGGAATTAAAGATGCGTCAATAATACCCCTGATACTAGTGCCCTCAAGGACAGATGCAACATCCTCCGCCCCCAGGAACCCTCCCCAACCGCAAAGGACGAGTCTCGGGGCTGCAAAGCTGTGTGACGAAAGAACCCCTCTACTATTGCTTAGGTGGCCGAGCAACTGCAACCGCTGGGGCAGGGCACGTTCAAGACCGGGAGCTGGGAGCGACTTCAAACGGTCACCCAGCAACTCCCAACCCGGCAGTGCACTGGAGCTGGCAGGGGCGACGCCAGGGGCTGCCCGCGGCGGCGCAGCAACCCCGGGCGAGAACAAGGGGTTAAGTGTCGCGGGGAGGCTGAGCTGACTCCACATGCTGCGCCCCCCGCCACCCCGGCCCGGCTGCTACGACAACAATAGTGAGGCTAGCACATGTCAGGCTGCTCCGCACGCACGCAGGAGCCGCCGCTCCCCCGCGGCGTTATTTAAACCCAGGCCCGGCCGCCGCGCAGCCGAGCCGCCGAGTTAGGCGCGCGGAGGTTCGGGGCCGGCGGCCCGGTAACCGTTGTGCCCCTGCTCTGTGGGCGGGGCTGGTTCACACACCGAGGCCTAGTAGCCGCCGACATGCGGCTCCGGCTCCCCCGAAGGAGCAGGGGGCCGGGCCAGGCACTTACTGCCGCCCGCTCAACTTTCACTTCCCCGCCGCCCCTGGCGGCCCGCGGCCGAGGCACAGGGACAGTGACACTGCGCGCGGGGCAGCTCGCCCAGCGGCTTCCCCGCCGCCCCAGGGACCTCCCTTCCCTAACCCTGACGAGACCCCGGGGGTGAGGCGGGCTCCGGGGAGGGGATTCCCCCGGTCTGCGCGGGGCACCGCGCCGGAGAGGAGTACGGCTCGTCGGCCACAGCGCTCCCAGCGGAGGGTTCCCGGGGCGCCGAGCGGGGAATCCCCTCCCACCCCAGATGTCAGCCGTTCGGGAGGTTAAACTGCCCTGGCCCGCCCGGGGAAGCGGACACACACGCGGGGGGAGAGGGGGGGGGGTCTCTTACTCGTAGTCCCTGAAGATCTCGTTGGTGACCCTGCAGTAGAAGACGCGCTCGTCGGGCCGCAGGTCGGCGGGGGGCTTCTTCCTCACGAAGGGCTTTCGGTGCAGCAACGGCATCGCCCCGCTCCGCGCGCTCCTTCCTGCCCCGACCCGCTTCAAATTGGAGGGAAAATGAGAGTGAGTGAGTGCGAGCAAGCGAGCGGCGGCCTGGGGAGGAGGGAGCGGGGCCCGGCGTGTCCCTCCCCCCAGGAGAGCCGGGGAAGGAGCTCGGGTCGCGGCGGCACGGGGATCCGGCGGCAGCCTTTTGTGTGCCTGACACGCCGCTGCCTGCCTGGGACTGCGAGGAGGGAGCTGCGGATCCTTCCTCCCCCGCCTCCTCCTCCTGCCTCACAATGGGGCCATGACGCCGAGCAGCAGGCGGAGGCGGCTCCCCCCCCCCTCCCCCAGGAGTCACACAACGTGCTTGGCTCGGGGATACCCCGGCTGCTGCGATCGCGCTTTGTCTCCTCCGGTTCCCCGACCGCAGGGTCACCCCTTTCCCCCGCCTCTGACCTGCACACGCCGGGCCGGACACCAACTTCCACTCCCCCTTCGCCGCCGCGTCCTCCTCCCTACACAGCAAACACGGGGGGAGGGGGAGCGGCGATCACTTCTCTTCCTCCTTTGCTTCCTGCCGGGCTAGTGTCCAGTGGGACCCTCCCCCCCCCCCCCCCCCCCCATACACGCGTCTCTGCCGGGAAGGGTATAATGGGGTCACCCTTCTCATTCCCGGCTGGTGTGTAATGGGGACTTCCTTGTCCGCCCGTCTGGGTGGTGTATAATGGGGCTCTCCCCTTCTCCTGCCTACCTGCTGTTTAATAGGGTCCCGACCCCTTTCTGTCTGGGTGGGATATGAAGAGATCTCTCCTAGCTTCTTTTCCTCCTCTTGCTCTGCTGTCTTCCCCCTCAGCTCCTGGGAAGTTTTTGATCTACTTCTTCAGCTCAATGAGGAAGAGCTGCTGGGAGGAGCTTTTCACTTCTCTACCCTACATCTTTATTGGCCGCCCAGTGCCTTCTCGCGTGTGTCACACAGGAAGACAGAGAGCTACATTATTAATTAATGGCTGAGAAGACTCATCCTCCATTTTTGAATTATCAGCCTAAAGATCTATAGAGTGAGGGGGGTGACTTATATGGGGCAAGGACCTGGATCCTCCTCATCGCGTGGTACCCAAGCAGGTTGGGATTTTAATGACACGTCACTTGGACACTAGAGAAAGCTGCTGCTAACGTGGGAGTTCTTGTTCAAAGACGGGAATAAAGACCTTTCAAATACCGTGTCACATTTTCTTCTCTCTTCAGAAATCACTGTTGCTACTTCGAAAATTCTCTGCGCACACTCACACAAAACCCTCGCTGACTTCTTAACTTTGGGAAAAGCCACTGGCCATACAGTACATGCTCAATTCACCAGGAACAGAAATATCAAAGTACTTTATAGTCTCTTTCACACAAAATTGCAATCTGAGAGGCTTTAGTGCTGGTAGTACAATTATGGAGAAATGTCTCTCTTCCATTATTTAAGACCAAAATGATATGTTTCTGTATGAGTTCAGGTGGAACATGGAGGTATACTGTGGTTAAAATTATTCTCAAGTATAACTCCCATACACAGTTTAGGGGTGCCTGGGCCACAAAGCATGACCTGCTACCTTCAGCTCAGCTGGTCTAAGGACAGGCAGGCACTACCTTACTAAAGTACATCCTGTTGTTATTGTTCTTAAATGGATTTATTTCAATAAATGTATTTTAAATATATTGATTGAGCACTCAGGTTTGCTAGATGCCATACCCTGAGGATTTTAAAATGTAAGGTGCCAGTCCTGCAAAACACATGAATGACTTTATTAACTCAGTAGAAGTATTCACATGCATATAAGTATTTGAAGGATTGGTGCCTAAATAGGAGTTTACAATCTAAAGCCCTGATCCTGCAAATAGGTGCAGTTGAATAGTCCCCTGTGCTTATCAAAAGTCCATGGACTTCACTGACACTTCATGCAGGTGCAGTGATCTGGACTAGTGTAAATTGCAGGATCAAAGCCTAAATGAAAGTTTCCATGATACAGAGTTTGAATTATTCTGCTGGGTGGAAAGTATGGTTTTGGTCATTGACATTTTAAGCTATATTTATTTCCTGCATTTAGTCAGTTTACAACATGTTTAGCTTAAACTATTAATAGGATTTGTCACAAGTCCACCCCAAATTTCCTACACTTTTATTTTCTCCATTTGCCAGTGGCCTTCACTCTCCATTGTAAATTAATTTGTAGTAAAGGCAGAAATGTGATTGCAAATGAATGCATTTAAAAAAAAAGTATTTAACAAGCTCCTCTGAAATCATGTTTTTGTCTGTTTTGCATCAAAACCTTACAGTTTTTGAACTACAAATACTGTGGTAATGGCATTCAGCAATGCCAGTTCTTGTGATTTCATGGTGAATTTTGCAGTATATCACTTTTTCTTAAAGCTCTAACTTCTGGAGACATGATTAGATGGGAATCTCAGCTTTAATTTAAGAAAAAGTTTCTACCTCTGGAGGCTGCAGACAAAAGCTTGAAAATGAGCACCCTGAAGGCTGAAAAGACAGGAAATAAAATAAGCCCCAAATTAATTCCTTATTAAAATTTAATGATTCTGGAGCCAATATCATGATTTTTGAATTGTTGGGGTTGCCGGTATTGCATTATTTTAGAACTAGTTGGCATCCATGAAAAATTCATGAGTTGATAGAACTGTGACATCAAAAGCAGATTCCCTTTCTCCCCCTTGCCATTTCTCTCTCTCTTGTTCTCACCTTTCCCGCCTCTTGTTCCTCCCTCCTATTTATTCCTTCAGCTGTTTCCCTATGAGGATTGAGTGGTAGGGTTGTGGTATCAGAGGTACCATTGCTCTTGCTTAGGATCCAGTAAAGCAGTTGGATGGTATATTTAGCTTTGAGTTCTGAAACCATTTCTGTTTTTACAAAACCAAGATTTTAACACCTGATTCTTCTCCCAATCAAGTCAAGAGCAGGACTGAATCCTAATGACATACCTACAAGCTAATGGCTACTAGTAGAGGAAAGGCAGAGCATTTAAATTGAAATTAATTAATTCTGACAGATCTCAGAAATTACGTTTTTACTTTCACCAGGACATTTTTTTTGTATTTGCTACACAGTATTTATAAGTTGTTATAATAATTTATAACTTTGAATACTTAATTGAAAAATATATTTTTGAGACAAGGTAGAAAAGTATGGAGTGATTGATTAATCAGCTGATATGTACTGGAATCCTCATTAGCCAATCAGATCAGTTTTCATTCATGCCATTTTGTAAATGAAAATACCTGTAGTGAGAGCATAACAAATATTATCAAATATTATAAAATACTGGATATTAGGTTTCTGGCTACGGTGTTTTCAATAGTAAAACAATTTCCTAGGGACTGCATGGACCCAGACTTGGGGGAAGTTCCTTTTCCTTCAAAGCTCTCCACAGTTCTACTCTGAATCCCAGTAACTCCTCTGCTTTTGTCTCTTCACTTGCCCTCTATTCCATCAAATCTGCAATTTACTATCCCTTTGTTTCCTTCATCCACTACCATCTTCCTGCTTTTTTCCTTGCAAGCCCTTAAGGGCTTATCTACACATGGAGTTATTCAGGAATAGGTATTCTGCTTTAAATTTACAACCTATCTATTCTAGAACAACTTTAATGTGTAGGCAAATCCTAAAACTGAAACACCAAGAAAGTAAACTTTTTACCCACCTGTTTCAACTCTGCCATCTTGCCTCATTCAGTTCTTCTTCTTTAGGGTTTGAATTGCCATTGGTTGCCACCTGATCTTTTGTTTTTTTTTTTTTTTTTTTTTACAGCTACCATCTTGTTCTCCAGGGGCCTGATCCAAAACCCACTAATGCAAATAGAAGTCTTTCCAATTACTTAAATCGGTTTTGGATGAGGCCCTAGATTCTCAGGTTTAATTTTTTTTAAAGGCAAGTCTATCCATTGAGACTGAGAAGATAAATTATAAAATACTATAGTGTAGCTGATGCAATAATGTCTGCCTGTAGAGAGCCTGAAACAATAGTTTGGAGAGGTGTGAACTTCCCCATTTATCTAAGTGGACTGTTAAACTCAGGGAGTGTTTTCACAGCCCGGTTAGCTGGAGTGTTACCCCTAACTCACTCATGTCCACACAAAAAACCTCTTGCTCAAATTAAATTGTGATTTAAACACAAACAAGCTAGCCCCTCAGGGAGAGAGGGGTGGGTTGAAGATCATAGAATCATAGAATATCAGGGTTGGAAGGGACCCCAGAAGGTCATCTAGTCCAACCCCCTGCTCGAAGCAGGACCAATTCCTAGTTAAATCATCCCAGCCAGGGCTTTGTCAAGCCTGACCTTAAAAACCTCTAAGGAAGGAGATTCTACCACCTCCCTAGGTAACGCATTCCAGTGTTTCACCACCCTCCTAGTGAAAAAGTTTTTCCTAATATCCAATCTAAACCTCCCCCACTGCAACTTGAGACCATTACTCCTCGTTCTGTCATCTGCTACCATTGAGAACAGTCTAGAGCCATCCTCTTTGGAAGCCCCTTTCAGGTAGTTGAAAGCAGCTATCAAATCCCCCCTCATTCTTCTCTTCTGCAGACTAAACAATCCCAGCTCCCTCAGCCTCTCCTCATAAGTCATGTGTTCTAGACCCCTAATCATTTTTGTTGCCCTTCGCTGGACTCTCTCCAATTTATCCACATCCTTCTTGTAGTGTGGGGCCCAAAACTGGACACAGTACTCCAGATGAGGCCTCACCCATGTCGAATAGAGGGGAACAATCACGTCCCTCGATCTGCTCGCTATGCCCCTACTTATACATCCCAAAATGCCATTGGCCTTCTTGGCAACAAGGGCACACTGCTGACTCATATCCAGCTTCTCATCCACTGTCACCCCTAGGTCCTTTTCCGCAGAACTGCTGCCTAGCCATTCGGCCCCTAGTCTGTAGCGGTGCATTGGATTCTTCCGTCCTAAGTGCAGGACCCTGCACTTATCCTTATTGAACCTCATCAGATTTCTTTTGGCCCAATCCTCCAATTTGTCTAGGTCCTTCTGTATCCTATCCCTCCCCTCCAGCGTATCTACCACTCCTCCC